TACACTATAAAATCTATACAAAGCGGCAAATGAACATTATCCTGGAAACTTTTCCTGTTATTTAAGAAATATTTCAATGAACATAAATTTTCTGAGAAAATCTTCAGAACAAAACAGTAACTCATGCAACAAGAGATGAAAATAAATTTGATTCATGATGTGTTTATGAAAAACCAAGATAAAATCCATGACACTATTCTTTAAAGGTTGTCTATCTTCCTAATGAAATATTCCACTTAATTCTTAGAAATAAAAATAGTAAATATAATGATTTCATACACTAAATACTCTTCAGTTTGGGATTTTCTCACTACTTGCCTTGGTGCTTTCAAATGAATAATGCATCCAGATTTCACTTGTTCTTATTTACATGGAAAATAATAAAATCATTGTAGTTTTGGTTTCACAAACAAGAAATGTGTCACAGAGTGTCAAATGATCAACTATATTCAACTTTAATCTCAAAAACATTTATTGGGTAAATATTCAAAGCCAAAGACTTGTCTTCAGTACTAACACTAAATCTATATACATATAAATGTGTATACTTATACATCTTACATTCTCCTTCACATTCTCTTTACACACATAGACTCATTTTTATGGGTAGGTAGAATTGGGAGGCATTTACTCTTTAATCAGTACTTGCTAACTTAGGGTTACTTTTTCTAATCATACATCACTTAATAATAATTTTATTGGAAATTAAACTCTTCATTTAAGTACATTTGTAGTACTTTCTTTTTTTATTGTGAAAATACTGTACAGAGGGGTTACAATTACATGGGCAAGATAAGGAGTACATTTCTTATCAATGTAGTACTTTCTTTTTTTGTGCTGGGAAGCACTAATGCCCAGGCTCTGATAACAACACAACAAATAGTCACTAGCAATCCACCAACTTAAAATATATGCACCTTTAATCAATGCTACTGTAAAGATAAACAAGCATTTTGCACATTAATAAATAATACTATAAATCTTGCTATATTAAATTGCAAGTAACTCCAACTGAATATAATTGCATGACAGAGAATTTACTTATTCTGTATAGTTATGAAAACAACTTGTTCTCTGACAGCACTCATTCTTGGCAATTTACCTCAGCTGTCAGCAGCCAATTTGTTGAGATTACTGCTCTGCATAAAAGTGCAACCATCATGAGGATTTATTAGCTGGTTATCGTAAAGATGGCAGTTCGTCTTGCCTGCCAAATGCAGGTGATCAGAAAGTTAAATAATTACATGCAGATTAATATTATTTCACCTTCACTTGAAATTTGTAGATCAGCAACAGGGAATATTTGCTGTTCAACTTTGCAATGTGGTATACATTACCTAGATTAGCATATTTGCCATTTGGTATTTTTCTGAATATTTAAAGATTTAAGAAAATATACTAAAATGGTGGCGAATTGAGGTTACATGTTAGAACCAGGGGATCAAAATTTGAGTCTCAGGTTACTCTAGTTGCGTAATAGGTAAACAAACTTTTAGCCAACTTTGGCCTCATTCTTTGCATTGGTAAAATTGATATAATGCCAATCATTCTTGTTATTCTCTAATACTGAGCTAATTTATAAAACAGTAACAAGTTGCAAATCATTATTATTGATGCAGATAGTTATTTATAGCAAAAGTCTTTGTGTAAATGGCAGTAGCTCCTAGATATAATTATAATGAAAAAAGTGAACAAATTATGTATGAAAGGAATGTTCTACAACCTAATAAAGGTCAGCGATAAAGTGGAGAAATCTATTAGACATTAACTGGGAATCAGATCTTGAATATTGAGTCAAGAGATGAACAGTGGTCTGGATGTGCACATTGGTAGCTATAACAGAGATAGAGTCACCGCAGGAGCAGGTACAGAAATGTCTGTATATATGTAAGCATAAGCTGTATAAGCTTAAGCCTCAGGCATCCACTCTGAGGCTCTCCAGAATTACAATATGACCAAAATGAGAAAATACTCTTCAAAAGAATCAAAGAAGGAGCATTCATAAGGTAAGAGAAAACCAGGAGATTTGGTATCCTGGAAACCAAGTAAAAATCATGATTCAAGGCAAGAAAGCTATCAACCAAGTCCAATTCTACTTGTGCATTGGGTAAAATGAAGGTTTGAAAACTGGCCATTGGATTAAATGGCTTTGTTTTCACAGTTACAGGATGGGAGCAGTTCTGATGACTGCTGAGGGCAGAAGCTTGGCTGCATGAGTTTAAGTGAGATGAAAAAGGTTAATGTTTTCACCAGGCACAGGTGACTCACGCCTGTAACCCTAGCTACTCAGGAGGCTGAGGATCGCAGTTCAAAGCCAGCCCAGGCAGGAAATTCTGTGAGACTCTTATCTCTTGTTAACTACCAGAAAATGGCAAGTGGTGCTGTGGCTCAAGTGGTAGAGTGCTCACCTGGAGCTGAAGAGCTGATGGACAGTGCCAGGCCCAGAGTTCAAGCCCCATGACTGACAAAAAAAAAAAAAGCTAATGTTCTCTGTTAAAGCACTTCTATTTCAACACTGCAGAAGTGAACACGGCTCTTTCCTTCAGTCTTGTTTTTGTTATCAACAAATAAGACTCTTTATTCAATTTTCATTCACAAAAAATGTCAAAAAATAGTATGTGTGATCTAAAATGGAAAATTAGTGAGTAGTAATGAAATTATCACATAATAAACAAGCCTACAAGATCCTTTAATCTACGTAAGTATTCTCACATCTGGGACTTAGATAGTATCCTTTAAAAGAGCTATCAACCATTAAAGGGATGGTTATCTTCCATGACCAACTTTAAATTCATTCACCAGCCACCCATCAACTCCCAGAAGAGCCTCTAATTTTCAAGTTAACACAGACATTGGATACTGCAAGGATAGCTGGCTCTCTCTTTAGAGAGCATAATGACAGTTTCACTCCTGTTACATTACTCCAAGAACTCAAATTTAATTGAAAGGTAAGTTCTCGTCTAAGCTATTTTAGGAATTTAGAAAGTCTATTATCGTCTGCATTATATCCGCTGTTTCCATACAGCTTTCAAATAAACAAACACAACTTATTTGTCATAGAGGCAATGCACTGTTGAACAGTGTTTGTATGTGTTTAAAGCACAACTTAATAAAGATAAAGTTTGATAACTACAGGTTTCTGTGCTATCTGCATGTCAAACGGATTTGAAATAATGATTCGCCACAGTCATTTGATTTTTCTGCCAAAGGCATATTTGTTACCCTAGCAGAGTGGGCAACATGTTTCTATTGCTTACCTTTGTTTACATACAAATGCAACCTGAATTCCCATCATTGTGGAAATCAGTTAAACTGATACTCGAGAGCTGTCTTTTCCTACACCTGTGCTCTTGTTTCTGTATTCTAAAATTTTAGGTTTCAAGTTAATTTCAGAAGCAGTTATGTGCACATACCAAAAATAGATTCTTTTTCCTTTTCTAGACTTTATGAAAAGGTAGTTGGAATTATAGTTGTGGCCTTTTAGTCAGCCATTTACCACTGTTCTCTCAAAATTTGCCTGAATATGGACAAACCCCGAGAAAGTGAGGTGAAAAAATTGGTCCATGGCCCGTTATCCATTTTTGGTTTTGACATCATAATATTGTTAGGTGTGGAAAGGGCAAGGCCAACACCAAATAGGCTGAGAAATTCTCTTATTTTCCAAATTGGGAAATTCATCCCAAAGGGAAAACATATAGGATCTTTGTTTAAAAATATTTAAATATATAGTATTAGATTATACTGGTATTTCCTCAAATTCATATCATAAGCAGAATATTAAAGGTTAATTGGCATAAAGGTTAATTGATATAAAGGTTAAGTGAATCCCTGTTCGAAACCAGCCAGGACAGCCAGGATATTCTGTAAGACTCTTACCTCCAAATAGAACCTTCAAAAACCCAGAAGTAGAACTATGGCTCAAATGGTAGAGTGCTAGCCTTGAGCAGAGAAAGCTAAAGAACAGTGCCCAGGCCCTGAGTTCAAGTCCATGTATCATTATTACAAAAATAGCTTAATTGAATCTAATTGTGGTCCTTTGGCCTTTCTTTTTATGTGTATAGTAAAAAATACTGATTAAAACAAATATACAATAATATTAAAATTAAGAGATAAGTATGTTAGACTTGGTTTCTGTTCTTATTGTTTTCTAGAGGAAAATTCTTTTCATCATTTGAATGTGCATTTTTTTCTGGATTGTGAATTTGATATCTTGAAATTCATATGAATTCATTTGAGCTGAAGTGAAGGAGGTTTCATTTATTTATTAAGTTATTTATTTTTTTTAATGACTTAGTCTGTATACCATGCTTTATTTCAGCCTTGGCTAGTATCCATATGTTCCATTACAAACACATATATAACTATTGAAAATGTAAAAATAGACTTTATAAGAAGCAAATAATTCACATGGTTGAACTAGCCATTCAGAATAACCTTGACCTTGTAGAAACATTTCAAGTAAACCTCAGAATACATTTTTTGCTGCATTATCAGATTAACATGGCTCTGCCTCACTTACATGCTTCCTTCCCTAAAATGTGGGAACTCTTTACAGATTTATGAAATCCTAAGAGATTATAAAGATTCTCTACCTTGTAGGGAGTTATAGGAAATAATGCATTTTACGGTCACAATATGCTTTATGAAAACAAATATTATCTCAGATCACTTTGCACACTGTGAATATGTTCTTTGTTCATTTAGGTAACCCATATCAGATGGAATTCCTCTTTTTCAACTCCCATAACTTTTCTGCACAATAATTCTGACATCTGGAGAGAATTTCTGAACATTAAATTGGAATCGCCTGTGTCCATCGATAAGTCAAAAGTGCCATCTACTGGTAAGTCTTAGAATATATTTCTCAGTTCATCCAAGCTCTGCTTTCCAGTGAGAACATCGCTCCCTTCCAAACTGTAAAGATACTTTATCTATAACCAAACATTCTTTCAACAAAACTTTTCTTCTAAGGCAAACCAAGAATATAAAATTGTACAAACCTTCCAATAAAATCATCTCTTTTCCCTGCATCTTTGTCCCATGCAGTAATATCAATGATTCCTCCTCTTTCTTCATAGAGATGAAAATCAAACTGTTCCCTCCATTGAGGATTCAACGTTTTTGGCATAATCTGGAAATAAACACACACACATACAAACACACAGAAAAACAACCCCTCACTGTTAGCTTTTAAAGACGCCTTTACAGATTAATTTGAGACTCTAAATCAGACTTTAGGTATCATTTAAGTTAATCAAGTAATTGCATTGTTGACATTAAGATTTCAAAGAAAAATAGTATCTTTACTGTAGGATAGACCCTAAAGAACATGTCCCAAAAAATGAAAAGATACTCCTTGATTATCTTACACATCAGATAAGAAACAGGAATTACACCAAAAAGATCACTGATAGACACAATAAATCACTCAGAAGCTAACATTCATTCTACATAATCACAGTTGAGGGATGAAGGCATAACTCATCATTTCACAAAAAACGAAGATGAAGATTCCCTACGTTTCTTTTTTCTCCTTACATCTTTCTCCCCTCGATAAGATATTGTGTCTTTTTTTAAATCCTAGCACATGAAAAGCAAACAATAGCATTCTGTGGGGTCAGGAGAAAAAAGCCAGAAGCTTTAGGCTAGCCAGGTGAACTTTGATTTTACAATTGCAGCATTGTAATTGTAAAATAAGTACATATCATTGTTTTTGACAGTACACCCATTTATAACCATGGAGACGCTGAGAAGAAATGTATATTCTTCATGTTGTCTATACAAGAAAGATATCTAAAGTGCAATTCTGTGACTTCAAGTATTAAGATAAGACATCTGGCAGAAGCAATAAACAAAGTTCCTGCTATCAATGTGTTTTAAAATTCTACTCACCATTTGGTTAAATAATGCTTATTGTTTCTCTGCCCCCCCCCCCCCCCCCCCCGCTTTTTAAAGCAAGAATATATGTAGTGGCCTTTTCTCTTTTTAATATATGTAGACAGGTCTTCAGGTGTAAAGAGTTTGAAAGCAATGAAGTATGTTATGTGCAAAGGTAATGCAAATGAATCACAATTTTTAAAGTTCATAATCTGAAATTAACCAGCAATAGATCATGGATGGAAAGAGCAAAGAAAGACATGTGTCCATAGCTGACTTTCATATTTCATACCTAAAGAGCAGAACTATAAAAGTAAGTAATGTTATAAGGTTGGTAGAAGATGGAAATGGTGTTAATTGAAAGAGGGTAAGACAGAAGTATGGACACTTTTGGAAACTGCTTTAAAATTTGTTCTTAAGAGCTATGGGTGTGTGTGTGGGGGGGTGATGGGAGGGCAGGGATGGGAAGGGGAAACAAAGGAGGAGGCAACAGTGAATAATAAGAAATGCATTCATTACCTTGCTCATGTAATTGTAACCCCTCTGTACAGTATTTTTCACAATAAAAAACGTATTAATATTAAAAAAGAGCTATGGGTAGCAATGGATGTATGCTTGATAATCACAATTTCTTTTTTTTGGAGGGGGGTGGTCCGGTCATGGGGCCTGAACTCTGTGCCTGGGCGCTGTCCCTCAGCTCTTCAGCTCAAGGCTAGCGCTCTACCACTTGAGCCACAGAGCCACTTCCAGCTTTTTTCTTTTTTGCTTATGTGGTGCTGAGAAATTGAACCCAGGGCCTGATGCATGCAAGGCAAGTGCTCTACCACTGAGCCACCTTCCCAGCCCGATAATCACAATTTCTTAAGCCAGGTTCAGAGGAACTCTTATGGTCTTTTAGGGTATCATCTGTTTTATTTAGTTGGGCACGAACCGACTTTCTTTTCCATTCTCATTTTTGGGATTGCCTTGCTTGTATGATTTTCTTGAGGTCAGAAATTATTCTTTCCCTTCCCATGTAGGCACCCCATTAGATAAGCAAACAGATTGCTGTTCTTGCTGTCTGTTAACAAACGAGTTCTGTGATATCTCTAATTCCTTATGTATTATTTTTTTAAGCTTTCCATCTATTGTCTAGATGTAAACTATTGATGTTGTTTATCAAAACATCTGTGATGCCATCAGGTAAAAGAATTCCCACCAAAGTGGAATAAGTTATTTAATACAGATGGAGATGATCATTTGACCCAACTGTCAATGAATACCAACTATGAAAACTGATCATAGAGAAGTTAGAAGTTAGATTTAATGCAGAGAAAACTGGGCCAAAAATATAGCTATGACTACAATGACTTTTACTAATTGCTACTGCTGCTATCAATAATAGAATATTAATATTTTCATAGAGTATTCCTAAGCATATCATTGGTACTCCACAATTTTTACTACTGCTCTTAGCATTTACTGGGTACTATTATGACCAAGGCAATACTGTAAGCCCTTTAGATGCAGACTATGCATTCATTTTCTCTTCTCAATAACTTTCTTAATATTATCTTATTATTATTTATTTCTAAAGATTATTTTAATTCTCATATTTACAGTTGAGGAAACTAATACATGCGCACACTTAGCCACGTGTTCAGTGGCACATCACTCACACAGAATTTTATCTTTTGTCTGCAATATAAATAAAATCAACACAAAATCTTGCAGTGTGCATTGGTCCAAGTCAGGTTGAATAAAATGACTCAGCAATTCATAAATATTTTATGGCATGTAAAATAACTGTGTTTTTAGAATGGATGCTAGCACTACTTAATAATGGTAACCAACCCTGTGCACCTTGTGCTGTTCTTTTATTTTTCTTTTAAATCTGCACTAGCATGGTAAGAGATAGTTTCTTACATTATTCCTGTGTTACTCGTGAAGAAACTGAGACAGAGAAGTTACATGCTTACCCAAGATAAGAAATACCACAGCATTGGTGACTTTGTTCAAAGGATCCATAAGCATTTAAAACTATACAGTGTTGTCATTTCCTGAAGCACATATATTAACTAGCCAATATCTTCCCAATATTGAAGAAAGAAAAGAGAGATGATAGAGAGCTACCTTGCTCTTGTACTTCTGATGTCCCAGTCGGAACTTCACATAGGGATCACTCAGTCCATTAGAGTCCATTGCTTTAAGGTCTCGGCCCTCGATCAAGGTAATACTGACTATTCCTCTCCACAGATGAGATTTTCTGTGTTGGTCTGACAGACGTAAACTTTGGGTCTGAAACTTTGGTAAAGAAAGGAAGTTATGTTATCATATTTAAACCTAAGCATCTCATTTGTCCTTTCCCTCCCCCTTGTTACAGTTTTCCAAAGAATAAAAATAGGTAGTTAACATTAATTATAATTTATGTATTATTTATTACATTAATAAATTATGAGGTTATCATCTTATGATAAACATATTCTGTTTAAAGAGATAACAGTCAAATATAATCTATAGAGTTCTCAACTCTTATGTGTATACTTTTAGAGAATTGTTTGCATTTGTATTAAGTATACTCACGTAAATAACTATTAAAATATTGAAGACCATGTTTACAGTGATATTTAATTTTTAATTGTTTATGGTTTTGAAAGCATTTCTCATGTTAGAAATAGATTTTTACAGAATTTTAAGCTAGTAGATTAGTTGCAAGTTATATTAAGACAGAAATTTTGCTACATTAGAAGACAACTGAATTTCAGCTCACTAGAGAATTATTATTATTATTATCATTATTTTGTCAGTTGTGGGGCTAGAACTCTGGGCCTGGGTGCTGTCTCTCAGCTCTTCAGCTCAAGGCTAGCACTCTACCACTTGAACCACAGCATCATTTCCAGTTTTCTAGTGGTTAATTGGAGGTAAGAGTCTAATGGACTTTCCTACCTGGGCTGGCTTTGAACTGTGATCCCCAGATCTCAGCCTCCTGAGTAGCTAGGATTACAGGAGTGAGCCTCTGGTGCTCAGCACTAGAGAATTATTTTAAGGAACCTCAGAATAGCAACAACAAAACCACTATATCCACTCAAGATGCCTTTGCTTATGCCTGAAATATGCAACACAAATACTGTAAACCATTTAAAAATACTAAATGTGATTTACATTGGAAAGTGTGTTGCTGGATATGTTCTTTTTTAACATATATATACACACACACACATACATACATTTTATTGTCATTGTGGAGGTCATATGCAGAGGAATTACAGTTACATGAGTCAGGTATTGAGTACATTTCTTTTTGAATCATGCCTCCCCTTCCATTGCTCTCTTTCAGCTTTTCCCTCCTGTCCCTCATCCACAAGATATATAGTTCATTTTCCACATAGGGTCTAGTGAGTACCACTGTTGTTATTTGTTCACCCTTTGTTGTACCTTTTAGGTACCTCTTTTCGCCGCCCAAAGACAAATAAACTAACAAGACAAAAGGAAAAGACAATAACAGCAACAAATCTTTTGTTTCCTTTTCTTGGAGTAAATTCCATGAAATATTATTTTACATGATCATATGTGCATAGCTATTGAGCTTTTGTGATCCACTCCTATGCATATCCTTTTTTGATTTCACTGTGTGAATGTCTAAAGACCTATATAATTTATCATGTCCTAGTGTATTTTTTTAACCATTCAGTATGTTTACTTTATAGGTACATTCTAGTTACCACAAATGAGGGAAACATGCAACCTGTATTTCTTTGAGTCTGGCTTACTTCACTTAATATAATGTTTTCCAGGTCTTTCAATTTCCCTACAAATGGTGCTGGTATATCATTCTTTCTGATGGATGAGAATTCCATTGTGTGTGTATAATATATATGTGTATATATTACATTTTCTTGATCTATTTGTCCACTAAAGAGCATCTGGGTTGATTACATATTTTGAGTATGGCAAACAATACCACAATGAATATGGTTGTGCTGTTTGCTTTAGTGCAGCCTTGTTTGTGTTCTATTGCATAAATGCCCAGGAGTTGAATTGCTGGGTCTTATGGCAGCTCTATGTTTAGTCTTTTGAAGAATCTCCATATGTTTTTCAGAGAGGTGGAACAACTTTACATTCCCCATCAACAGTGTAGTAGTGTTTCCTTTTGGCCACATGCCTTCCTGCATCTGTTGTAAATTTTCTTGATATTGGTCATTTTAACTGGGATAAGATGGAGTCTCAATGTGTTTTTGATTTGCATTTATGTCCAAAGATGTTGACCACTCTTTTTTTTTTGTTGTTGGTTGGGGGGCCTGATCTCTGTGCCTGGGTGCTGTCCCTCAACTCTTTAGCTCAAGGCTAGCACTTTACCATTTGAGTCACAGCACGACTTCTGGATTTTTCTGCATATGTGGTGCTGAGGAATCGAACCCAGAACCTCATCATGCAAGGCAAGCACTCTATCACTGAGCCACCTTCCCAGCCCCACTCTTACTTCTTCATTTGAGAAGTCTTTTTTTAAGTGTTTGGTCAATTTATTAATTGGGTTGTTGAGGGTTTATTTTGGGGGAGGGGTTAATTTTTTGAGTTCTAAGTACATTTTAGATATGAGATATGTCTGATGCATAGCTGGTAAAAATCTTGTCCCATTCTTTGGGCTATTATCTTGTTATCTATGTCCTTTGCTATGCAGAAATTCTTCAGTGTGATGAAATCTCATTTATTCAGTCTTTCTTTGATTTGATTCCCTTCTTTGTGATTCTGTATCTTTACTTGCGAAGTTTTTTTTTTTTTTTTTGGTCGGTCATGGGGCTTGAACTCTGGGTCTGGGAGCTGTCCCTCAGCTCTTCAGCTCAAGGCTAGTGCTCTACCATTTGAACCACAGGGCCACTTCCGGTTTTCTAGTGGTTTATTGGAGATTAAGTGTCTCACAGATTTTCCTGCCTGGGCTGACTTTGAACCACGATCCTCAGATCTCAGCCTCCTGAGTAGCTAGGATTACAGGTGTGAGCCACCGGCACCCAGCTACTCGGGAAGTTTTGACCTGTGCTTAGAAGCCCTTCTCTTGCCCCTGTAATCTTTCATGTTATCTGGCCTTACATTGAGGTCTTTGATCCATTTAGAATAGATTCTGTTGCAGGGTGACACATGAGGATCCAACTTCAGTTTTCTGCGTGCGGATAGCCATTTTTTCCATTGTCATTTGTTGAAGAGGCCATCTTTCTTCCAACCTGTGTTTTTAAGCTCTCTTATCAATACTAGGTGGTTATATGTTTGTGGACTTATTTCTGAGTCTTCTATTCTGGTGGTGGACTTTCTCCTCATTCTAGTATTTGAATATTTTTCTTTTAAAAAATATTGTAAAGGTAATGAGTATGTTTCTTTTTGAACACTGTTATCCCATCATTTTCTCACACTTTCCTCTTCCCACACTCCCTGCCCCCACCAAGTTGTAAAGTTCATTTCCAACATAGTGTCTGGTGAGTATCATTGTTTATATTAGTTCATCCTTTGTCCTGCTATTTCTGTGATTCCTTTTCCCTTCCACAGATCAGTTAAACTTATATACAAGACAAAGGGTACAGAAAACTGAAAAAAAAACTATAAATAACTGCAGATAGTACCTAATAAAACTTCATTTCCAATTCTTGGAGTTCATTTTGATACACTTCATTATATATGGTCAAATCTACCTAGTGATTGGGCTATTGTGATCCTTTGCTAAGAATGTCATAGATAAATTTTAGTTACTACAATGAATGAAACCATGCAACCTACACTTCTTTAGGCCTGGCTTGCTTTGTTTATTGTAATTTTTTTTCAAGTCTTTCCATTTCCTTACAAATGGGGCAATGTTCCATATCTTAGCTATGGTAAATAGTACTGCAATAAACATAGTTGTGCTGGTAGCTTTAGTACGGTCTTGTTTGTGATTATTCGGGTAAATGCCCAAAAGTGGGATTGCTAGGTCATAGGGGAGGTCTATGTGGAGTCTTTTAAAGAACCTCCATACTATTTTCCAAAGTGGTTGAACAAGATTACACTCCCACCAACAATGCAATAGGGTTCCCTTCTGGCCACATCCCCAACCCAGATGTCCCTCAGTAGATGAATGGATATATTAAGTAAAATAAGCCAGGCCCAAAGAAACAGGTCCCATGGTTTCCCTTATTTGCAATTACTAGTATATGTCTGAGACAAACAGAAACGGTCAGATAAGTTGGTATTAGGTGAAATGAACCCCAAGATAAGGACTCATGGTTGTTCTTTCTTGCTATTGTTTCTAACATATTTATAAGATGATTTCTTTGTTGTTTGTATGTCCCTCCCCCACAGTATAACCCCTGTTTTCACTGTATTTAATGTTGATATAATTCGGGGAGGGCAAGGGAAAACCAAATTGTTTAAATAGGGATACAGGTGGACCCATTGCAACAATGAGATGTACAAGATGTTATGTCGAAAAACTTTACAACTTTGGCGCGGGGGTTGGGGGGAAGATAGTAAGCTGAAACAAAGGAGGAGGCAACAATGCTAGATAAGAAGTGTACTCATTACCTTGCTCATGTAATTGTAACCCCTTTGTATGGTATTTTCACAATAAAAAAATTAAAAAAACCAAAAAACAAATGGAACAATGTCATTCTTTCTGATGGAAGCATAGAATTCCGTTGAATATGCATGCCACATTTTCTTGATCCATTCATCTAATGAGGGACATTTGGGTTGGTTCCATATCTTAACTATAGTAAATAATGCTGCAATGAACATAGTTGTGCTGGTAGCTTTAGTAGGGTCTTGTGTATGGTCTTTTGGGTAAATGCCTAAGAGTGGGATTGCTGGGTCATAGGGGAGCTCTATGTTTAGTCTTTTAAGGAACGCTCATATGCTTTCCAAAGTGATTGAACAAATTTACACTCCATTTGACAGTGTAGCAGCATTCCCTTTTGGCACATCCCCACCAGCATCTGTTATAAAATTTCTTGATGGCCATTCTAATTGAGGTGGGGTGGGATCTCAATGTTGTTTTGATTTGCATTTCTTTATGGCCAGAAAGACTTCAGAAAATTCCTTATTATTTGGGTGATTGTTTCTTTGAGGATTTGTTTTTTTTTGGGGGGATTTAATTTTATTGAGTTCTGAGTATATTTTAGACATGAAGACCTTGTCTATTGTATGGCTAGTGAAGATCTATTTCCAATCTGTGAGTTTTCTATTTATATTGCTAGCTTTGTTCTTTGCTATGCAAAAGCTCTGAAGTTTAATGTAATCTAATTTATCCAACCTTTCTTTGATTTGTTGTGTTTCTTGGTCTTTAT